TGTGTGTGTGTGTGTGTGTGTATATATCTATATGTAACAATCGTGGAGAAAGGAGTTTTGTTCAAATTTAAGTGATACAGTACTTTAAAACCCCTTGACAATAAAAGGGGAGGGGGGGGTCCACTCCTGTTCCCAAGCTGAGCAAGGGGTGAGTTTATATAAGTTTTTAAAATGGGCATAGTTTGTTTGCCCTGATGTCCAAGAAATACAATTCCAGTGTCAACGGGCATCTCATCAGAACTCATCAATTTTCTTCTGCAGATATTTTAACATTGAGTCCATCCCTTGTGCCGAGCCCCAGATTTTCTTCAAAACTTCACACTCCTTTTCATTTGCTTGTTCCAAGTCCACCTTCATGATATTACGTACTAAAGCTTTGGATTCTTCAAGTACCTAGGCCAAAAAAAAAGGGAGTTGGGTTAGTATTACGTGAGAACTGAGCAACATGTGCACTTACAGGTTTATATGGACGAATCCTGAAGTTGATTATGAACTTCAGCTTATCAATTCATGACCCTAAGAAACGTTTCTCAGACTCTTTCTCGTAGCATCACACAGGATTTCCTTTACCCCAAACCAGCACACTGTACAAGTGCACAAAAATGTAGAAGTAATGAAAATCATAAAATCATAAAATCATAACTATGAAAATATATATAAATATACACATACACACACAGGTTTACACTGATAGAGAAAACTCCAACTCCATTTTGGTAAGGTTAATCATAACACTATTATCCAGAACTGCTCTAATAACTGGGCAGACCGTGAATCTCTTGAGCATTTAAAATAGACTGAAAAGTCTTGTTCGCTTTTCCATCTAGAAAACTATTTGTTTCAAAATCCCAAACTTCTAATGCAGAGAACAGTTAATTTGTACTGCACCTCTTCTTGTAAGAGATCAAATATTGGTAGTTTTAGCTATCTTGTGCAAATGCCAGTAGTGCACGCAACATGAATGGACTAGGTGTTACTCGTAAAACTGTAAGTTCAACATGTCAAAGGCTGCATTTATTTCCTTGGTAATTTAAATTACAACTCAAGACATTGAATTACAACTCAAGATTTCTGTGTTTCTGTGCAGTTCTTAGGGCAACTGTTTACACTGTTGATTAGAATAAGTTGGACTTAACGCAACTATGTTAAAACCAAAATATGTTGTGAAGAGTCTAATGCTGCTTTAATGTTCTTAATCACAATGTACTATGGCATATGATAAAGGAGAGTAAGATACAAAGTTAAAAAAAAAAAAACCTCAAAAACCCAGAAACAAAAAGATACATAAGGATGTGTTAAAAGACATTGCTATACTAAAATGCAGTCCTTATTTAATGAAAATGGTCTTTTTTTTAGAAGGACATAATTCTGTAGTCTAATAATACTTGGATTAATTCTTATTAATCTAATAATAAAAATGTATTGTAAGAAATAAAGGAAACTTACAACTGAATTACATGTGACAAGTTCCTTAATTCGAACCATTACTTCTTGTGTGAATGTTCCCGGCCAAAACACTTGAGAGACGAGTCCTTTGGCACAAGCTTCCTGCGCAGTCAACTTCCTTCCACTGAACAACATTTCATTGGCCTGAAGGGATAAAAAGTTACTTCTGGTATGAAATGTAATGAGACGAAACTCATTAAAGGAAAAATGTTCAAAACAAATAAGGAAAATGCCTCCACTATTTGAAATAGTTTTATTATAGCTCTTCCAACTTTTAATTGATAAAGAAAAAAGACTTGCCTACAGCTCGCTGGTTGGTGTTGTTGACTATACTACGTCAGTACTTATAAAAATACGCAGGTCTATGATTAAGGGTTAAATGTGAAAATGTCTTTTGTCATTTCCCATTCATGAATGTTCATTAGCTCTAGCTTTCTTGCAGTATTGCTGACTTGATTAACTGTGTATGTGGTAATAGGTTATAAAGCCTGGCGGATCTGCAAAACAGCAATGAATACATCATCTTGCCCTTTATAATAATGTTAGTTGCAGCAATGAAGTCTTTGCTAAAAATCTACATTATCTGTAAATTATAAAGACAACCCACTTTTGGTAGTAGACCTCCTGGGAACTGCCAGTCTTGGCAGAAAAAAATACAGTTAAATATTTTGCAACTAAAATGGTTCTTAGTACTGAAAACATTTGAAACCTAAATATATGGTTTATTTTCATATTTTCGTATTTCATTGAGAATATATGATATATTCTCAAAAGCCTTCGGCAGTATTTCAATTGTGATGCAACATTTAAAATAGTTGGATCATCTTAGAATTTGACCTGCAAAACCCACCGAAGTAAGCAGGATATATTCCAATTTCTGATCAAATTCATAGAAAATAAACATTCCCATTTTATTCAGGAGTTCAATATTGAAATGATAAATCCTTTCAAAAGCTGATTTAGCAGTCTTATTAAAACCCCCAGTATTTAAAAGATCTTGTACATAGTTTAAAGGTACAGAACAGAGTACTACATTCTATGCAATAAGGTGCTCTCTAGTTCTGTAAATCTTATTGATTTGTAATTATCATACACTTCACTATCAGCTTCCCCATTAAAGCTTCATCCTACAACCATTTAGACTTAGGCTTTACTTCTACCTTTAGTGAAGTTTCTTACACAGTTAAACTTTTTGTTTGCAGTGACAGCTGCATGGAAACAGCCAGTGAATATTAAAGTCAGAGTAATTGTCAACCTCAAAAAAAAAAAAAAAAAAAAAAAAAAAAAATCAGTTTTACTGTTTCTTAATGACTAATTTACATTGAAGATATGACAAAGCCATCACTGGATTCTTGAAATATGGGAAATAAGGCTGTTATAAAACACCCAAACCTGACAGGTGTAGCATTTCTGAGGACAAAATTCTGTATTTTTTAAAATGTTTTCTAATACTGGAAGTTTTTGTAATTACTACAGCAACTTTCAGTTCAGGATCCCAAGTTATCTAATTACTGTAGGTAATGTTCCTAGTATTGCCATTTTACACATGAAGAAATTTGAAAACTCAGAGGTCTATTATTTGCCCCTTTGTAATGAAATACAAAATCTGGGTTCTACTGGCAGTTTGGCTGCTGACTCCTAGTCCATTACGCATGTAAAAAAAGATATGTTTCCTAGGATCTTTTACATAAAATTTATCACCAGCACATCTCTCATAAGTTAATATGGAAAGTTGTGATTCACATATATTAGTTTTAAAAAAAACCAAAACAACCAAGCCTCAAACTAAAGGTACAAATTATATACCCCTATAGTTCTACCTTCTGTGAAAGCAAAATCAAATATACAAGGTTCATTGACTTTCACAACTTTTAATACTTTTAGTTTTCCAGATTATACGTGAATAATACTAAACTGAAACACTAGCCAAAAATCAGTGATATACACAAGTTTGTCTAAATCCACGAATCATTCCCCTAAGGAGATATGGGGGGGAAAAAAAAAATTCTTCCAAAATAATTTTAAAAGATGATACTTAACATTTATATCCAAGATCAAAACGTGACATCAATCTAACTGGGAGTTAGGAAAGTCAGAAATTTGAGTCAGCTGGTCAGGTCTACATATTCTTCACATGTATCTTTGGTAACAAGGATAAAAATCAGTGCTAGAAAACCTTAATTTTCTTCTAAAACTCAGTAGCAACTGCACAGTTCTCCTGAACATGAAAAACCACAAATGATAATGGTGCAGTTATCTTCTTTCTGCCAGCCATAACACAGCATTAGCAGAAAACCTCACATGAAATGAGCGCTCCCATTAGTGTTCTCAGTTGACAGGTTTTGAAGGGAAATGTTTTGCTCTGACATCTTCACTTTTGATCTATACACAACATATGCCGGAGACCCACTGCTAAACAAGTTTTAATCATATACTCAGGCCTTGTATCAGCTGTGAAAATTAACACAACTTGGTGGTTACTTTCCAAGAAATATAATACAGCAATAGAAATGAAGATGCTAAAAATATTTCATTACTATAAGATTCTCACTAACAACCTTCATTTTCTACTCGGTCTGTCTTTCTCTTTCCACAGAGGAACTTCACTGGGACATCCTCTGGTCTCTCTTTTACAGCGAGTGCTTTGAGGCTCACGGAGGGACCTTTCGTGCAAGCCCACAGGCGCTAGCTGCCGTGGAGCATCTCAGCTCTCTCGCACTACGGTCAGGAGGCAGCACGCCCGAGACCTTGGCTGTAATGTGGACTACAGGCACTATGGAAACGTGTATCCCTCATGACTGACAGAAAGGCATAAGAAATACTGCCAAGCGTGGTGGAGACCAACAGGGAAACCCAGTGTGTGAAGCTTGATCAGGTGGCTCCTGTGCTTTATATCCAGGACCAGAAAACCAGACCAAGAACTCCACAGCAGAGGCACAGTAACATATCTCCCCAAACAGACCTCACCTTAATCTCTATCACAGATTGTTTTCAAAACTCAAAAGCCAAGTTTAAGAATCCTTCTAAAATTCTTGGTATTCCCAATAAATATCAGCTTTGAATCCTAAGGTCTGGGCTTCAGATTTCCTGTAATAATGACCTCTGTTGAACATGTTCTGTGGAAAAAACCCTTCATGACAGACCTGCTCACCAGCCAAGACTGACCCAGTAGAGAAGATATTTCCAACAATCTTGCAATTGAAGATTTTTACGTAACTGCTGATGAGGAAAAGAGTGCACTGAATATGACTTACAAGAGTTAAGGGTGGGACTAATATTGCTGAATTAATACATTTTGTAGCAGATTTTATGATACATACAGAGGCCTTAAATCTTTCTTTTGTATCATATTTTAATTTTTTTTTTCCCCCAAATGTTTCTCATCTCATTCATACCATCTCTTCTTTCTGCTGACTTCTCTCTCCCTTTTATAGATAGAAAGCCTGCTACTTAGTAAAAATTTTCAGTATGGATTCTGAATATATTTCATGAAATCTGCTCATTAAAGTCCAACTTTGTCCTGTACAGCATTGACATTGCTATACTGCAGAAGGTCAAGGATAGTATGAAAACAGTGGACTTTCCCCCCTCCCCCCGCCTTTGCATTGAATATTATGGAATTCTTATCACTGGAAGCTTTCAATTTAAGTCTGTATATTTAAAAATGAGAGCATTCGCAAACACACATGAACATATACTAGGGAAGAGCTGCTTTTGTTTTCGGCACAACTCCTAAAGAAACGAAAAGTAACAACCACAAGTCTCTGAAGGACGGGGATGGATGGAATGGATGGATGAATGGATGGACGGATGGCCAAATAAAAAGGGAAAGGAACAATCAGTAGTTTGAAACATGCTAAGGTATTAAGATACTCTTATAACTGTTAATCTATTTCAGTTACCTTTTCTGTTCTCTTCTAATACTAAATCCAGATATCACACAATTAGTCATTAGATCTGTTCAAACTGATGCTTTTAATATATTGAAATCTGTATTTTTAAAATCAATAAATACCTACAGGGAAAAATTGTCTTTTATAATAAACAATAATTTAGGAAAAACAGGTGCTTGTTTCTTACTGTTCAACATAAATTGGAACGGGACGTAGGTCTCAGTTTTCAAAGAACACAGCATAAAAAATAATAAGCAACATGAAAATAATGTAGATAGATAAGAGATTTCTAAATAGCTTTTTGTTACATTTGATTCTTTCATCTAATTGGAAAGCAAGAAAAGGGATACTAGATAACATGTGCCTTATGTTTTCAGCAACAATGCAAAGCGTTACCTTTTTTTTTTTTAATCCAGCAATACTGTAAATCAAATGTGCAAGACTGAAAAAAAAAAAAATCCTTCACAAACGTGATTTGGACCGAGTATTTCTTGCATAACAGACTAGTGTTAAACATCAGCAGAGATCTACAAAGTGAGGAAGTTCGACACGACTTCTTGAGAACGAGTGCATGAAAGCTGAATTACTTATTTTGCATACTAGCATGAGACTGCTAATAGCTGGTGACACAGTGCTCTGCTATGTAACGACACTGAGTGCAGACCAGCCCATTCTCTGCTACACTCTGATGCTGTGCTGAACGCAAGACGCTGGTGGCTGGTCCTCACAAGGCATCAGCAGGGAAGGTGTGTCCTGGTATGCAGGACATAACCCTTCTGCCACCGTCAGGGTTAAGGGTGCCCATGACGTGGGATTAAGTCCCATGCCTGCTTTCTGTTCTGTGCACGCAAGTGAAGACTAGGTTGTAACAGCATGGAGCAGAGAAGCTATAAATACTGGTTTCTCATGAAAGGTTTTCATGAGAGAAAGAAAAAATGAAGAAAAGACAACACAGCAAAGGTAAAAAGTCTTGAAATCACTCTGGATAAATTATCACAACTGCATTGTGAAGCTGTCAGCCCCTACCCTGCAAGCTACTTACAGAAGCCAGGCCCATTATCCGAGGGAATGTAAGGGATGAACATCCATCTGGACTTTGTCCAAAAGTAGTGTATGGTGTCTGAAACCAAGCCTTCTCGTTAGCCCAAACCACGTCACACAGAGGCAATATAGATGCTCCAAGTCCAATGGCTGGGCCATTTACTGCTACAATGATAGGCTTCTTAAACTGAATAAAAGTATTCACAAAATTCCTGAAGAGAAACAGAAACATGCACTCACTAGATACGTAGAGTGAGTAAAATATACCAGCCCTTGAAAACTCAGTAATAATTCATCTCCACAGTAACATAACTTTCAAAACCAACCTGATAACCTTCCACAATGAGGTGGTTAGCTTGGTGAATGAGGGGAGAGCAGTGGATATTGTCTACCTAGACTTCAGAGTGAGGCTTTCAGCACTGTCTCCCATAAGACTCGTAGTCAAGCTGTTGATGTATGAGCAGACAGTGAGGTGGACTGAAAAATGTCTGAATGGCTGGCCCAGAGGGTGGTGGTCAGTGGCACAAAGTCTAGTTGGAGGCCAGTAACTAGTGTTGCACCCCAGGGGGTCAGTGCTGGGTCCAGTACTGTTCAACAGCTTCATTCATGACCTGGATGATGGGGCAGAGTGTACCCTCAGCAAGTTTGCTGATGATACAAAACTAAGCTGATACACTAAAAGGTCGTGCTGCCATCCAGAGGGACCTCAGCAGGTTGGAGAAATGGGCTCACGGGAACCTCATGAAGTTCAACAAGGGGAAGTGCGAAGTCCTGCACCTGGGGAAGAACAACCCCAGGCACCAATATATGCGGGAAACCAAACAGCTGGAAAGCAGCTTGGCAGAAAAGGATCTAGGGGTCCTGGTGGACACCACATTGAACTTGAGCCAGCAACGTGCCCTTGTGGCAAAGAAGGCTAATAGTATCCTCGCCTGCATTAGGAGGAGTGTTGCCAGCAGGTTGCAGGAGGTGATCCTTCCCCTCTGCTCAGCTGCTCAGCACTGGTGCCCAGTTATGGGCTCCCCAGTGAAAGAGAGATGTGGAGCTACTGAAGATGGTCTAGCAAAGGGCCACCAAGATGACTAAGGGACTGGAATGTCTCATGTGAGGAAAGGCTGAGAGAGCCGAGACTGTTCAGCCTGGAAAAAAGAAGGCTCAGGGGGGATCTCATCGATGTGTATAAATACCTGAAGGCAGGATACAAAGAAGATGGAGCCAGGCTCTTTTCAGTGGTGCCCAGTGACAGGACCAGAGGCAGTGGGCACAAACTGAAACACAGGAGGTTCTCTCTGAACATCAGGAAACACTTTCTTACTGTCAGGGTAACTGAATAGGCAGCCAGCAAGGTTGTTGCTTCTCCATCCTTGGAGATATTCAAAGACCCTGCCTGGACATGGTCCCGGGCAACCTGCTCTAGCTGACCCTGCTTGAGCAGGGGCAGGTTGAACAAGATGACCTCCAAAGGTCCCTTCCAGCCTCAACCATTCTCTGATTCTGCAAAAGCCTAGCACTTCTCCCAGCCCAAAGCAGCACAGTAATTGGGCAGGCGCGGATTTAACACCCCTCCTACAAGCACCAGCTGATATGGCGCTTGTGGTATATTCACAGCCCTCACAGCCCTCTCGTAGTTGAGGCTGTAGTCATACCTCGCCTCTGGGCACCAAAACTGTGGTTACAGCCCTGCTTGGTCTTCACTGTGTTTTATGTATGACATTGGTATAAGGTACCTACCTACCTATATTTTTAAGTGAAGGTATAAGGTATACAGTTATAAGTGAAGATGGGCAAAGCATTAATGAGTTTCCTTAAGGAGTACTTCTGGACTTTTGGGAGACAGCTTTGCTTAATAAACAAATCTGCCTTTTTAAATTATGAACAAGCCATAAATAGTACAGCTCCATAATCACATATCACACACCTGAAAACTTCGCCTCCTCATCTCCCTTTCTTGGTCATAATGCTATAGGTGCTATGCTATTAAGTTACAAATGCGTATTCTCATTATTAACACAAAATGACAATTCATTCCAGTACCCACAAAGCATGGATGTTTACATACTTGTCTGTTCTCAAACAGTGAATGCCTTCAAGAGCTTCTTAGGAAAAAGTAAGCGTGTGTGTACACACATTAGACTATTAGAGACTTCTAAAACCTCGAAGTTGAGGTGCAGACATTTCTCAGTTAATAGCTACCACATATAATGAAGAAGTTGTCCATATTTACTTCAAGTACATGACAAATTCTGATTAGAATACAATGTACGACATACAGTTGTCAGCACCTGTAAAGCACTCCTTTGCTCTGAATGGCAGATGATTTTCTTTTCATTTCGGTATTAGATGCTGAAATATGGGATTTTTATCAAAATTCTAAAAAAGGGGGATTTAGTGGTAATTTTAAAGTTCGCTCTTTATCTGTATTACATGTTTTTGTATTTCTGTGAAAAGGGACTTTTTACTATATTGCATCCCTCACTAAAGGTTATCATGCTGCTTCTTAACTCATTCTAGTGAGCTGAAATAGATGAATGCAAAAAAATTTCTACTGGGACCATCTTAAGCAAGCTGTCATACAAACATCCTATCCAGAGACTTAAGATAATTTTAATCATGTCTGAATATTCCAGGGAGGACCATATCTAGCATATATATGAAAAATAGCATTATTATATTTGAAGGGGGGGTTCATAGGTGTTTTAAGTTACCTTTATCCATTTTATTAACAATGAATAATATGTGACAAATCAGGCTTCTGGAAGGGCCTGAATTAAACTAGTAACAGAAGTTCAGTGTTAAGAGCCTCTGTCCCCTGGCCGCATCTGAAGTCACGGCCTGAGCAACTTTCACATGGAATGACTGAAAATTTTCCTTTGAAAATCTAACTATTATCATTTCTATGAGCCAACTGTGCCTCCAATGAAACAGGCTTTACATGTTACAAGGCCTTTTTAGGGATATTGATAACAACAGCAGAACATAGGTCTCTGAAGGAATATAGATACTCTGGAAGCATACAAGAGCTAATCCAAGAGCCCAGGCCCTCAAAACCAGTGTTCAAATGGTAAGCTACTTGTTTGTACTGTTAAAACATGTCTTTTTAAGATCCATACTTTTTTCTATATATATTCTTCTAGTTTGTAGTTGTTCAGCTCATTTTGTTTAAACATTAGGTTTGGTACCTAGCATTGGGATGATGTTCACTAGTATTAATCTACTCCTCTAAAATATCCATCATTCCACTGCTCTGAAAGTACTATATTAAGCTACTCATTCAATGCACATCTTGTATTTGTATGTGTTAAATTTGTTTTCCTGAAACCCTATGGCTGTTTAAGTCTTTTAAAATTGGTTTCAACTGGAGGAGTATTACCATACTAGCAGTTTTCATAGTTAAATTTTAGTAGTAAAAATAGTGATGCATGAAATGACAACCCAAATAGAAAGGGACAGGGAATATAAAGAAGTACTGCACGCTCTATCACTTGTGAATAGAGGCTTTTCAAATAAAAAAGATAAACCAAGCCAGACTACATGAAGAATATCCACTCAGACGACTGAAGATAATCTTACATACCTAATAGCTTCTGCCATCTTAGTGCTTTCCTTTTTTCTGTCATCTGTTAAGCGTCGTATAAAATAAATAAAATCAAGACCACAGCAGAAAATGCTACCAACTGCACTGAACAGCACAAGTTTACTGTCATCTGCAGCTGCTGTGTTCAGTGCACTTTGGACTTCCTTCATTACCTGAAAAATCAAAAATTCATTAGAATCTTTTTATTATGTCATTAAAGAGTAGCATACTGTTCTCCTCCCCTCTTCCCCCCATGAGATCTTCGATATCTTTAATTTTTCCTTAGGATCCACTCAACCATCATATTAGAAAAGTTAACTTTTTTCATTATCCCAAAATAAGAAAGTTAAAAAAAAGTATTAGAAGCTTTGCATTTCAAAAATGTAATTAGACTAAGATAATGAAATCCTGAAGAAAAGATCTATTAGATGTTATCTGTAACAAAAGCACTCCTTCAGCATTTCTGTAATTTGGACAGCAGATGGCATATGCAACCAGTTCAGAAAAAAAGAACCTTAATTCAGGCTAAAGCTTGTTTCAAGTTGCACTTCATAAATCACTACGTCTTATAAGAGGCAGTACATCTACATGTTCAGATAACGTAGTTAAAACTCAACTGAATTACAATTAAAGTCAGTTGGATGCGTAACATCTTGCAAGCAACAACCTGAATCTTGTTTCGTGTATGTTTGTGCCTGAATAACAGGCATAAATGAGGCAGAGATTTAGAATTCCCTCAGCATCCTCCCCCCCCCGCCCCCAAAATCAGAATTATTCTGACCTCTGGATTTAGTGAATTATTTTCAGATGATTTTGTTGATAGCAAAATATGTGTGAATCCATCTTGTTTCCTGACAACAATGTCTCTGTACCGGTACGCACTCTCCGTTTGCCTCACGCTGAACCGTAGCCTTTTATCAAAAGGTTGATCTCTCCTGTCATCAATAAACCTCCGTTTGCTGGCTGTCACTCCTGTTACAGATGTCTGTATGTTGGTTGTACCATTGGCTGCTAATGCTTCCATAAAGGTGGATGTACCTGGAAATAAACAGTAACATTCATTAATTACATTTTATTAGCTCAGCAATTTCAAAATCCCTATTAGCTTGAAAACACACTAGTCATATTAAGAACACACAGTAAATATGAAACTCAGTCACCTGGAAGTTACTGAAGTGTTACAGAAATAGACACTGTGCACAGAGCAGAATTAAAGTGACAAAGGGATCCAACACATTCATTTTACAGGTGTGAGAAAATACATTTTAAACAAGCCAAACAGACCAATCATTATATACTTATTTTTAGAAGAAAGGGAAAGGTTTATTTAACGTTCCTAATACCAATGCACTTCAGTAGGTTAACACTCTGCTTTCTCCCTTTCCAACATCTTTAAGTCATCTAACAGCATCAGGATTGCAACAAGAAAGCAGAAGCCTTTTGTTTCAAACGCCATGAGAAGTTAATATACAGAAGAAAATTACACTTACAATACGCCAAATAAAGAACTTGATTGACAAGATCATATAAAGCGTAACAGTCTTTAAAGGAAAATGGAAATGAAGAAATACAGACTATACTTCTGTGGGACTGAAACAAGACCCATGCAGTGATGGATATTTTAATGGATTCATAGACAATGAGATATTTCTCAAGTCTAAACAGTTTTTGCTATTAGAATTGGCAAATAGAGCATTATGTCTTTCTGGTCTTGTTCCCAGTCACTTAAATAGACAGAATTTGAAGGCATGCAAGTAAACAGGCCATTCCTCATGACACAGAAAGGACAGGTTTTTCTGTACTCCACATTAGAAACATGATACCAAATAATTAGCATTCATAAGAGAAAAGAAGAGAACATCTTGGGTCTATAATCCATCTGTATTGTTAAAGTCTCCATGTAAAATCTCCATAAAATCTGTCAGATTAAAGTAATGGAGTATGCTTGGGGGGAGGGGACAGTAGGGTTAAAAACATTGGAAAAATGCGTTACAGGCCAAGATAGGAAAGTTTTTAAAGCCTTTTCCTGAAAACTGATGTCTGAGACTTTGTTAAAATCTACTGGAAACCCACAGCCTTCATCTCACAAACAGGTACTTCAGAACATCATGCATATGATGTCTTAAAAGGTACAGTTAAACCACGTGTAAGTAAGTTGTTAATTAAATGCCATTAATGGATCTTGCTTAATTCATCATTATCCTCCTGAAAAAGCTATATTTTTAAAGTTCTAATAATATGCAATGCTATGATTTTTAATTTTATTTTACTTTAATTTTTTTTTTTTTTTTTCCCCCCCACAAGATACTTAAATACTTGTGGGTCCAGTGAAGACATTAAACAGGCTCACCTAAATAACTGGAATTTCCTATATCGCCACATTTTAACTGTATTCAGATGTTGCTTACTTTGACCTGTATGAAGTATGAGAGAGATATTAAGAGAAAGACTAATTAAATTAAAATTTAGAACACTATATGTTTTTCTATTTGTATTTCAGAAACTGCTTTCAGATATAAATGAAGTCTTTATATCAAATATTTTAAAAGATTTGATTATAAATCTGTTATGATTTATTAGGCAAGTTGTCTGTCAAAGGAACTATACAATAACAAGGTTTTATTTTACTTTTTAAAGTCTTTCTTGTTGTATTAGTGATTTAATTGTCTTACCGTATCACTTTTTGTGAAGAAGTTAAAGACAACTCAAGATTTCTCAATTGTTTAAAGCAAAGAGTAAGAAGCTGAATTCAGTTTGTGATCAGTCTCAGAGACAGAGGTGAACAAAATGAAATGGAAAATTAATATTTTATATTGTCACAGAAGTTTCACATTTATTCCTGAATTTTTCATGGCTTATAAAATTCCTTTTTTCATTTCAGCAGAATAAATAAAAATTTGATGCATACCAAATATGAAATTGATGAGGGATGCTTTCGATACTTTTCCCTTGTAAACCACACTATGTTGATTACAGTCCCTTAAAAGAATTCCCTTCAAAGGGAATTTGCAGGAGCACCACTGTTGCCCCATATTTCATTAGGAACACAAAATTAAATGGTATCACTGGCCGCAATGGTTTGTTTTTCCATAGGAAAGGTAAATTAAAACGACTGAAATCACCTCCAATTTCTAAACCCTGATACAAGATTTTATGGCTTCTGTCTTAGCCATAGTGGAAAAAGTGGAGAACCAGGAGAGCACAATAGACTAGACTAAACAAAAAAAAAAAAACAAAACAAAAACAAACAAACAAACAAAAGAGTCAGTAAACTTGGGTAAGAGCTTTGAGTACATCTTTTCCCACGATTCGTACTTCCAAAGACGTACTCAAATACCAGAAAATTACTTTTGAGATGTAAGAGGCAATGATTCTACACTTTGAGAGACAAAACTTTTGGCAAGAGAGACCAAGATGTAAACACCACACGCCACTTTTCATGCTTATTGAATTGGCAAGAGACCTTCTGAGTTTTTATATAAAGTCTGTCTGCACTTGTCAATAGTTGCAGTTTCAAACCACAAACAAGGGACAGCTGCAGTTCAGTGGAAGAAACCTCCTACGTCCCATCTTGTAAACACACTTTTAGGATACTTAGACTGGAATCAAAAACCTGTCGGCTTTGGAAACCGTACCTCTGCGCAGGGAGATTCGGCCAGCTAGTACGGATTAGAAAATGGCACCGACAGAGTTAAAATACGTTCGTTAGTGTTTGTCATTATCGCTGTAAGTTTGTGACCTTCTACACCTTAAAGCGTAGGGGGCTCTTTTTTTTTGGCATTCCGTCCTCCAAACTGAAGAGACAGCTCAGAGACATAAAGCAGTACTTCATGCTATATATAAATAGGCAAAGGTTACATCACTGGACAGTCTTGGACATGTGTTGCTGCAAATGAGGATGAAAACTTAAAAAAAAAATGCCAGGGAGAATTAACTGTAATGCCATAGATTTCCTCACATGAAAATTTTGCATTGAGGTTACTTATTTTCAGGTTAATTACAATTTTTAAAAATAGATTTCATAACAAACCAAAAGCAGTTCTACATTTTAATACGTTAATGGAGATAGCATATCAAAGACAAACAAAACACCACAGCCCTCTCTTTTCAATCTGAGCCTTCCAAAAACAGTAAGGGCTTGGAAAAAAGACAATTTACCCTGGATATTGTGAACTAATGCAGAACTATGTATGTTTAAGAGGTAAACAAACAGCTCTTATAGTTATAAAAAACCCTTCCAACTGCAAACTGTTAATTAATGTAATGTGATCTTCTCAAAGGTGAAGACATACTACTACTGCGCAAACCTTCACCATACAGATGCAAAATGAAATTAAGAGGACTACTTGGTTTTGCAGCTGCTGATCAAAACCTGATAACAGTCCCCATTTTCATGCAGCTGCTCTGAGAGAAAAAAGAAAGCTATGGGCAATAGATAAGAAAGGAATTGGTCTTATTCAAAAGGAAGACAGACGCAAAATACACAAAATACAGAAGTTGGAAAAGGGGCAGAACAGCAAAGGTATCATCATCCACATTCCACTGGCAGAAGACAGAAAAAAGCCACCTCTCCAAAATATGAGGGGGATAACAAATAACATGCACAATGCCAGACATCTAGATAAACAAAAAAAGTAACACACAACTTCACAACAATCCAAAAGTTACAATCCCAAGCTCCTCTCAGAGCTCTTTGTGCCTCACTGTTACTGTCTTACAAATTCTTGAGAAGTTCAGTTTAGCTTACATAGCAAGCCTTGAGTACAAACACTCCCCTCCTTGCAACAATACTGGGGACACATCCAAACAGGTGCTCTAACAACAGCCAAGCCTCTTTTGCACACTTCTTTTCAAGTACACATGTACACTAGCATGTAAGACGGTACTCTTAACTCAAAGGTTTGTCTGACAGAGTATGCTGTTTCTGAAAGGCTTCACACAGATGTCTAAGGAATGAGCATAGGAAGATGGGAGACGTGAACGATGCTGTCTGAGTATTTTCCACAACTCCAGCCACCAGAAATTTAGGGATTCCTAAAATCTGCATGCCCAGAACTATAGGATGCACCCAAACCCACGTAATTACATCCTTATCCCCCATGGGATTGTCCGATTTACTTTTGAAACCACTATGGTTTTGTCTTCCAAAGTATCTTTTTGCAGTAAGTTCTGCAACATACATCTTTACTTTCTTCATCCCTTTCCTCACATCCCCTTCTCCAGATTGATTAGTCCCAATCTTATTTACCCTTTCTTCTTCCAGAAGCCAGCCCAAGCCTGTCATTCTTCTCCATGCCTCTTCCTCTTCTACTAAATCTTGGAACAGGGTCCAAAATGGCACACAATATTCAAAATGGGGATTTATAACGTGGCATATTCAAGCCTTCTCTTTTGTCCTCTACTCTTTTTCCATAATAATTTCTAACAATTTATTTGGTTTTTGTGGGTTTTTTTGGTGTTTTGTTTTGTTTTTAAACTAGCACTGAGCAGGTCTTTGCAGAAAACTACCCAAAACAAGCCCAATGCCCTTTTCCTGAGCAGTAACACGTAGTCAAGAACCAGTCATTGTCCAGGCATGGTTTTATGTTTTGCTATAGGCATAGTTTTACACAGAAATCTGTTTTGACCCCTCCTCATTGCTTGGCATTCATCTGCGCTGAAAATAATCTCTCCTTTTAATCATAAAATCACTCAGTATTTTCAGATATGTCCATAGTGCTCCCAAGGAGCTTCAGGGACCCTCATGCCTTTCCTGTACCCTCACACACCAACCACGTCCTCTCCTACACTAAGTGACGAAATGGTTAATAAGAAGCATCCCTCTTGAATAAGCAAATGAACAACACCAGCAACAACAATTTCTTAAAGTGTTAACTGCAAAAATAACACTAATTGTAACTGATTACAACTCAAGTACCGGAGAGGGAAAAATATGATCTGCAAAACTGATTGGGAAAAAAAATTTAAAAAAAAAAAAAAAAAAAAAAAAAAATCAGTGCTATAAGTTGTACTTTTTCCAAAGTCCTTTCTATAC